AGATAGAGAGAGATGGACGTCGACGTTGGGGTGTTGTTTGCAGTGGTTAAGGGTATGGAGGAAGCTCTGCAGCCCATTGACAGCTTGTTGGACTCCAGAAACGCAGGCTCTTTAATCATGTGTGCCGCAAGTGCTCCACACAGTATTCCTGGTGGACTGTCTAGTGATCACTTGGAATTCCAGCATGCTGGAATGACGCTGCCGATCATAACAGAGATAGCGGATCTGGTGCCTCGAGAACCGCCACGGTGGTGCGTGATGCGCCGTGCGGGTGGTCTGTGGGAGGATCTCCGAGTTAGAGATAATGCTGAAGAAAATCATTACGTGGCACTTCGCATGAATAGGAGTACGTTTGAGATGCTCGTGCAGATTCTGACGCTTCAGCTGCAGAGGCAAGTGACCAGGTTCAGGCAGCCTCTACACCCTGCAGCGCTCCTGGCTTATGCAGTTCTTCGATGGGCGAGCGCCGACAGCTACCGGCACAGCATAAGTGCGTATGGGATGGGCAGAGCTTTGGGCCTGCACGCTGTGGAAGATGTGGCACACGCTCTTGTGTCCAGCTTCCCATCTGCAATAACCATGGTTCACCCCAGGATCGTGCTGTGTCCATGGCATGGTATGCATCGCACGCCTTCCCTGGTTGCTGGGGGTGCATTGACTGCACCCATGTATAAATAGAATAGCCTGCACGTGCTTGTGGGGATGATTATTGTTCAGGGTGCACGAATCGTTTTTTTTTTGTTTTTTTTTTTTCCTTGTGCAGGGGCCATGCTAATCTTCTCTGTATCGTTCCAATTTTAACGGATGTCCCGAAGGACACACGAATCGTTTTTCAATTGGCACACAGATTGTTTTTTATCATCACTTCCGCATTCTGGATCTGAACGTTGGACATCCGGGCACCGTGCACGATTCCCTCTCTCTACCGCCGCACGTGGGGAGGGCAACTATTTGTAGAGCAGGACCGGCCAGTCTGTCTGCAGGGTGCTGTGGATGCACCAGGAGGATATTTGTTGGCGGATGCGGGTTATCCCCTCCGCTCCTGGTTCATTACCCCTTACGGTCCCAGGAATGCGAACAGGCGCACTGCAGCATTTGATGTCCGATTGAAGGTTGTACGAGCGGATAGCGAACGCGGGAACGGAGTGCTAAAGGTGCGGTTGCACAACTTCTACAAGCAGCATCGACCAAATGTGGATACATTAGCAGAACAGTTCTGCACAGTTTGCATTTTGCATAACATCCTCATTGATTTGGGTCAGGATGTTGGCTTTGTCCTTCGACATGGTCGTCAGAGGAGAGTGGGGAACGTGGTATTACGGCCTGTCAGGCAACGCACAGCTCAGGCAGACAATGCAGCTGGTATGCTTTGCGGGATGCGCTGAAGGACCATATCTGCTCGCACCCCGAATGGTTTAGAGCTCATGCATGATCTCATCAAAGCCAACAGCACCGTTCACGCGCATATCTTTGGCGACCTTCTTTCAGTTTCTGCACTCACACACGCACACACACAGAGGCAGTGTTCAAGGTGCGCACAGAGGGGCATAAGGTGAAGACAGCAGCTTCAGCGGCTATTGGGGGAGATGCCGAGGACTCGACCAGGAGAATCAGGATCTGCAGCCTGAATGCAGAGTCATCATCAGGAGGAGAACGGCCCCGCTACAGAGATCCTCTGACGGGGAGAATGCAGTATTTAAATCGCTATAGTCCCCGGAGAAGGAGAATGTGGGAGATGGTTGCCGCCATGGGCAGGACAGGACATGGGAGGAAAGATACCTCGTCGCCCAGGCAGAGATGGCTGCCCAGCAGGAGCTGCCCAGCGATACTGAAGCCACACCAGAGTCCAGCATTGCCGACAGCGGCCCGACAGTAGGAGACGTGGAGTCGTTCCATTTGCCTGCTGTTTCCACCACACCACCGTTCTTCACTCCATCCGCGACTCCCCGGGCTGTGTCCCCGAGTACGTACCCCTGAAGTGGCCATCTCTCTCTCTCTCTCTCTCTCTCTCTCTCTCTCTCTCTCTCTCTCTCTCTCTCTCTCTCTCTCTCTCTCTCTCTCTCTCTCTTTGTCCTCTCTGTCTCTCTCCATAATAACTTCGGGCCAGAGGCATCGAATCTCCAACACCATGTTGATGGCCACTTCAGGGGTACGTACTCGGGGACACAGCCCGGGGAGTCGCGGATGGAGTGAAGAACGGTGGTGTGGTGGAAACAGCAGGCAAATGGAACGACTCCACGTCTCCTACTGTCGGGCCGTGGCTCAGTGGTTAGAGCACCGGTTGGAAATGCGCATTGTGGTATAAGGTTGTGGGTTCAAATCCGCAGCCTTGTGCATGGACACCGGCAGGGCGTTAGAATGACTCACGGCTGGACCCCTTGGGATGACGCAGGTTAGCTATTACAGACACTGCCTGCGCACCA